CACTCTTTCTTACTGCTGGAGCTGGACATCCCTGAAAAGCTGATGCTATTGACAAGTCGCCCCTTACCCTTTCCAGAAAACCCTTCCTCACAAGCTGTGCTGCTGGGACTGCACTGCTCTGCTTTGTCTGCCTCAGTAACACAGTCATGGGTTTTACTCTTCCTTACAAGTTTGTAGGAGGATCCAGATGATTTTTCCAGACAGTTGTCACCAGCACCATTCCTTGCTGCTCTGGTGGAAAACCTGTAGTTCTTGTGTGTAGCCAAACATGCCAGCTGGACTTCAGCTACACTTTGGTTTCTCTCCAGAGCTGCCTTTTTGTCTTTCCCTGTATCATCTTTGTTGATAGGGACTGTGTGCTCTGGTGGCACTTTCTCATGTTGCACACTGGATTTTATGAAGGTCTTTCCTCTCTTGAGCTCCATGTTGCTTCCTCACATCTGTTTCTGTGAAGTAGAGAGAAGAATAAAAATCTAGTGAGGTTGGTGGCTAGGACTTGTAAACTCTGAAAACAACTGGAGAACAAAGGGAAGGATATTAAGCATAATATGGTTGGTTTTGTTTGACACCAGAAGTTTCCATCACTGAGTCATGGTATTGTGTGATAAAAAGATTAAGTGAATCTGAAGATATGTTGGCAATGGCTGGAAGATCTAGCAAGGGAAGGAGAGTACACCTTCTGGCTTGGTAGCTGAGGCTCAGAGAACATGGAATGAAGGGGTTTGTATTTAGAATTATGACTTCAGAATGAATTTCACCAAGATAGATGTCGTGTTCCAAAAGTAGAAGAGGCATCAATGACAAGAGTTGCCTGAGGAACTTGAACATGTGTGTGGAACAGGGAGGCAGCAGCTCATAAATCTGTACCTTCAAGAAGGATGAAGAGCTCAAGGTGGGAAATCTCCCAGAAAGAAAATGGGTGAAGCGTTTGACATATGATGCTCAGTTTCTATTAAAATAATCCTTACCTGTGAATAGAAAATCCATAAACCTTGGTACTACTCTGGGAAGTATGCTGAAACTGAATTACTGGTTTTGCTTTCTCCTGAGCATAATGTGTAATTTTCTGCACTCCTGCTTTTATTGTAAAAAGTAAAAGGTGTGACAGTGATAATAATGATAGAAACTGTTTCCAGTTTACAACAACCAGTATAGTCCCACATTGAATCTGCTTTGGGCATTGATTAGCTATTTCTAAAAATACTCTGTTGCCTGTGTCAATACCAATTTTGGTTTCTGCCTATACAGTTTAGTATTGAATCTGTTTCATGTTTTCATACATCTGATTAGTCATTAATTATTTTAGCCATGACACTTCCCATTTTCCAGCAGTTCTTTCAAGGACACATCTGATCCTTTCCTGCTTTATATCAACTTGAATATTAATTAAGTCAATGGTCTCACATATAGGTAGGTCAGAGATGAAGCAAGCACTTCTGAAAGCTGTTAGTGTAACCAGATATTTACTGGATGAGAAGCAGGACAAAAAGTCCAAGCCCTATTCTTGAAAGAATGTGCTTAGATCTTTCCTTAATGAGGCCTCAGTTAGTGATTTATCTTGCTTTGAATTGTGTAGACATAACTAAAACCACTTGGAACCACTGAACTCCACAACATATACAAATACCACAGTGGTGTATCTAGCACTGCTTGACAAGCCATATGTAACAGCTCTGGTGAAATGAGGAATTAGGAACACTCCCTTGAGAACAGTCTCAGATCCTGGATCTCAGTGCAAAGACAGTCAGGAAAATTTTAAATTCAGCCCCAGGCCTAGCCTTTGTACACTAAAATACAACTTGAAGCCACCTTTTGTCTACCTTGAACTATAACATCTGTCTGTAACCTCCAGAGGCTTTCCAGTTTCCAGGGCTTGCTGAGGGCAGCACCACTGACCTACACCTCACAAGATCCCAACCTGTGTGGGAGTTGTGTGACCTGCAGCACTTCTCCAGCAGGCAGGGCAGGGACAGCCTGTTGCTCACAGGAGTTGCAAATAGGCAGCAGGATTTACAACTAAATGTAGGTCAGTGACAAACAGTAAAAAACATAAGGGTAAAGCATGAAGATCTGCCATAAACAGTGTGGATGCTATGGAAAACAGCGTGGATGGTGAGAAATGGGCATTTATCAGTATGATTGAAATGTTGCCACATTTTGCATTTGGGGCTGCACATGAGTATTGCAGAACTTTCTTAATGAAAGCCAGTAAACATTTTACTACACTGTCAGATATCTGAAGATCACTGGCGCTGCAGGAAGCTTGTTTTGCATATTTAGAAATAGGTCACTGGGACAGGATTACCCTCTTTTTTCTGAAAAGCAAGGTGTGATTGAGAAGAAATTCAGTGTGCAGAACTCCAGCAGTGTTGTGAACATCATCAGAAACAGCTGACACAAGACCAATAATTAATATCCCAAAAATAAAGCATCTGACACCTCACTCCTTTGCAATTGTAGAAGTAGGTACGTGTCCCCATGGCTAGTCCTGCTGCTGAGAAGCTCCCTAGAACGCTGTGACGTGGCAAACACATTATAACAATGTTATGTAGGACTCTCTGAAGTCCTACAACTTTTTGTGCCTATTCTGAGTATTGAACAAGGGTCATTTTTGTAGGAAGTGGCATACTTGGAAAGCTTTTCTGTAGGAGCTGTTAAAAGGCTTTACTCAAAGATGAGTTTGGTTTATTGTTGAGTGTGAGAGTGATTAAAGCTAAGATTTCAGGACATCAGATGTCCTGAATGCTTGACTGAAGAAGCCTTTCATCCGAATTGTACCTCCTAGAAAAGAAGCGCAATGGACTACTGGTTTGATAACTTCAAGGCTTGTTCTTTTGTCTTTTTATAGATTAGATTAACAATTTTAACATAAAAGCCCAATAATAAGAAGGCCTGAATAACTTATGTACCGAGGAGAAGTGTAGTACAACAATGTAAGATGCACTGATGGCTGCCTGTCCTACCTTTTTTGTTTCCTCTGATGTGGAAAAAAACAAGTTAAATGTTTGATTTTTTTTTTTCTGGTTTTTATTGGGTTTTTTAAAAGATCTGCTGTTATAATGATCACCAACTTTGTATCCTAATTGTTTAGTGTTTTTCTTATTTTTTCCCCAGGATTCATGCCAGAGTAACGAGCATCTAGTTAATTGTCTGATCCTGTTTTAGCACTGGCAGAGTTTGAGGAATCTACCTAATTATAAACGTTATTAAAAATGAACACCAGGAAAGGGCAGATTTCCTAAGTCAACTGTTTGAGAGCTCTTAGGGGCAGGGTACCAGGGTCAGCAGAATTTAAAAAATACTCATCTCAGATACTGTTTTGTAACTTCCCATACCGTGAGTTCCTCTTCATCATCATATGATATAAATTATCAATGAGCTTCTTTCCAAATATAGAGCAGAAATATTTATGTGATGCCACTCTCTTTCTATATCTATACTTTTAGCACTTTTGGTTGCAATAGACTATACCATACCTTTTTTTCCTCTCTGCAGGACACAAGTTATATCTCTAATCCCACAAGCTGTATCAAATTTGAAACATATAAAAGTCCTGTAAGAGAAAGTTACCCTCCAGTGGTTATATAAAGCTAATCAAAATCTGTGAAAAATTATTCTAGGCATTGAAAAAATGGTACATCATCTCTGGGATTTCTTGACCCATGCTCTCGGCTACGCTATTGCTCGTCTCTGCATCTTTTTAATTATCCCCCTCTTGGACTTAACTTGGAATATATCTCCTCTTTCACAGGGTAAAGGGTATGTGAGGGACTGTTTTCCACCTTTGCAAAGGAAATACATGTTGCAATTAAAAATCACTGTTGATCTGTAAATAAAAAACAACTACCAGTCAGTCTACTGAGGCTAGGTTGTTCTGTTTTCTACAGGATCCGGATGTTTTCTTCATTAATGTTACTTAACTTCTTTTTTGAGCATCTGTGAAATCAGTTATGGAACACACATATAAATAGAGGACATCCTTGAATCTTATCCTGGGCTATGGTTTATCTGTCATTTACAATGATCTTAGGTGCAGCAGCATTGAGACTTCCCACTAAAGAGTATCTTTTGTCTGTCCTGATCATACCAGCTGCTCACTTTTAGGATTTCACAGGTGTCTAAGCAGGTAACTAGATCCAGATTTTGGGCTTATACTATAATGAAAATAAAGTTTGGGTTTAAATTTGGATATTGCTCACAAAAAACAGAGATACTTCATGCTCAAACAGATACCATCTGTGCCTGTGTCTGAAAGCCTTTTCATAGGAACAGAAGGTTTTACTGTGCCTGTGATTCATCTAGAAGTAAATTAAAGTTGCAGAATGGGAAGGTGAGCACATTCCTCTGGGCTGAGGAGACTTGGTTTTAGGACAGTCAAAGCAATTGATAATAGTCCTGGTTTATAAGGAGCTGAAGAAGGCAGAGTTAGGTAACTGTTCCGGTTAATAAGAGCCATATTTTGATGGCCTAAATTCTACCTAAGTCCAAGTCAACAGACAAGGAGGCCAAAGAAGATGGCGGTGGAGCTGGACCAGATTCATTGGGGAGCAGGAGGAAAATGGGTGGAGGAAAAATACAAACTGTCCAAATATTGCCTCTGACATGTAGGTCAGAGAAGAGAGATATTACAGTCACCTCTGTCCTTGGCCCCCAGAGCTTTATGCCACACTGAGCTGTCTACAGGTTTCCCTCTCTAGAGGAATGGGGGAAGACTTGCCTTAGGTTTTGGGCTGGTGTAAAAGTTAGTATCTTATATCTTCATAGAAACAGAGTGATGGAATGGTTTGGGTTGGAGGGGACCTTAAATATCTTCTAGTTTCAACCCACTGCTGGAGCAGTGTCCGCTAGACCAGTTTGCTCAAAGCTCCAATACAACTTGGCCGTGAATACTTCCAGGGAAGGGGCATCTACAGCTTCCCTGGGCATCCTGGACTGGAGTCTCACCACCCTAACACTAAAGTATGTCTTCCTCATATCTAATGTAAATCTACTTTCTTTCAGCTTGAAACCATTCCTCCTTGTCCTATCACTATATGACTTTGTAAAAAGTCCATCTCCAGCTTTCCTGAAGCCCCTTCAGGTACTGGAAGGTGCTATAAGGTTTCCCTGGAGCCTTCTCTTCTCCAGGATGAACACATCAACTCTCCCAGCCTTTATTCATAGGAGAGCTGCTCCAGCCCTCTGATCATCCTCATGGCCTCCTCTGGGCTTGCTCCATCAGCTCTATGTTCTTCTTTTGTTGGGGGCTCCAGAACTGGAGACAGGACTCCAGGTGGGATCTCAAGAGAGAGAAGGGGCAGAGTAGAAGGGCAACCACCTCCTTCAATCTGCTTATCCTACTAGCTTATAACACAATGGAAAGGTTTGTTTAGGTTGTCTTCTAAGAAAAGGTAAAACAGGTTGTGCTTTCATGTGTCTGTAGCTA